TTAACACATCACTGCAGTCAGTAAACACATCACTGCAGTCAGTAAACGCATCACTGCAGTCAGTAAACAAATCACTGCAGTCAGTAAATGCATCACTGGTCAGTAAACGCATCACTGCAGTCAGTAAACAAATCACTGCAGTCAATAAATGTATCACTGGTCAGTAAACACGTCACTGTAGTCGGTAAACACATCACTGTGGTCAGTAAACATATCACTGATCAATAAGCACATGACTGGTCAGTAAACACATCACTGTAGTCAGTAAATGTGTCACTGGTCAGTAAACCCATCACTGTGGTCAGTAAACACATTACTGGTCAGTAAACACATCACTGTAGTCAGTAAATGTGTCACTGGTCAGTAAACCCATCACTGTGGTCATTAAACACACCACTGGTCAGTAAACACATCACTGCAGTCAGTAAACATATCATTGGTCAGTAAACACATCACTGTAGTCAGTAAACGCATCGCTGTGGTCAGTAAAAGCCTCACTGGTTAGTAAATGTGGACTCATGAGGGTTTTTTGTTCGTTTGGAGGTAAAGTCTGTTTCTTTGTATTTTTAGTTTTCATAGCTTGAACGTTTCATCGAGCTGCAGCAAAGCTGCATTGTTGTTGTGTTGCCATGGAAACAGAGAACGAGCAAGGCCACAGCACAGTTTCAATCAATTTCTTTCTTCAGGCAGAAAGCAGCATTTTAACTGTCTGTGTGTTTTCTTTTCACGGTGTGTTTTGTTCAGATGTTCTGTCATCTTTTCTTTTTAAAGATGGACACATTAAGGCACGTTCAGCAGAAACTGAGGTCAGACGTTAGAGGCTCTCTGAGCAGACCCGAGTGTTTCCACATCCCTCAGTGTTCAATGTAACCTTCACTTCGCTCATCACACCCAGCTCCTTAAGCTAATCTGTGAAAGCATCTCTCTATTTTCCCTCTGTGTCCCTGCACCTCTTCAAGCTGCTGGACTGGATCTGAACATTGGACTGATTTATCTGAGAGTAGAAAGAGCTGGAACGTCTGATAGAAACATCTGAATGTTCTTCTCATCCAGGAACCTTGAGAAAAACAACAGCTTACAATGAAAGAAAAACATTTTTATCAAATGATTTAGTACAAAAAATTGTGATAAATGTGAGAAGTTAGCTGAAGTCTTTCACAAATACCAATGTGTTCAGGAACAGAGACAGCAGCAGATTTGATGTGTTTGAGTCCCTCAAATACTGGACTCTAATCCAAACTGTAGATCTCAGTGGTCCAGAGGGAATTTACCAGGTCAATATGGGCTCAGATGGGTTCTGGATAAAGAGCCAATTAAGGCTTTAAGGTGAGCAGAAAGATTTTAAAATCAATAACAGGGAGATGAGACTGTTGGGTTTGAGTTCGTCTGCAAAATTCTGATCACAGTTGGACTATTTTTCATACCTAGTTTAGAGAAAATGACCCAGAATTTAAGACAAGTAACATTAAAGTCCTCAAGGCTGGAGGAAGTTTATATAACATGTATAACAATGGTAGCACTAACCCAGTAATCTGGTGGAACCAGCATGTTCATAAAGAACAGAAGGAGACCAAAGACTCATCCCAGTGGAACGCCACAAGTTAGTTGTTCTACAAAGTGAATGATGGGTTCTCAAACAAATTCTTACCTTTGATTTGATTCACAGGAAACTTCATATTTGTTTATGAAAGCATCCAGACTGTTGTAAATAAATTTAGACTGTTTGTTTGAAAAGCAGGACAGCAGGAGAAAGAGGAAAAGCAAGGAGGAGTCATGAAGATGGACACCTTCTTGCCAACCATCAGACCCCCGGAGGAGCAGGAAGGGAGGGAGCGCCCCAGTGCTGCAGCAGATACAGACTCCTCCACCAGCGATGTCTTCTGATCAAACAGGACAGATGTTGGTCTCATCTCTGGTCAGCCAGATACACTTCCTGTCACCTGAGACTTCCTGTCTCATGTTACTTCCTGTTTCCTGTGACCACCTGTTAAGGATGAAGTAAAATGGCTTCTTGTAGTAAAACTTTCACATAACTTCTTCACCTCGAACATTATTTGTAGATGAATTTATTTTTCTCTGATTAACAATTAAGAGAATTAAATAATTATTGATCATGTGATGTTTTTATTCGCTCGTCCAAAGGTGGACAGGTTATGGTACGGTCTCTGTCTGCCTTGTCCCGCCCATAACTTCTGATTTCCTCAAGCAAATTTAATGATCTTCATACACATATACATCATCACTAGAAGGAATGTCTTGTACACATTTCATTACCCCTGAATAAATGTCAAGGTCACAAATCAAGGTCAAAGTTCAAAAAGTTCTTGTCTTTCCACTGCTATAGATTGTTGTATAATAGTTTGTTGACGGGCATGTAATGTGCCATATACGTTACTCTTGTTTTTATTTAGATGTGGACACGGGTTCAAACAACAAACCGAGTTAAATAAACCAACCAGGATCAGTTAAGTCATTTTTATTGCAAACTTTGCACAAAGGCAGCAGCTCCTTGCATTGGGAAACAAATTAAATCCACCGTCATCTCATCGTAGTCGCTATTATACAATCAGGAGAGTGCAAAATGTTTCACTAAAGAAGAAAGGAGAATAAAACCAACCCAATTCTGAAAAAAGGTTGGGATGATGTGTAAAATGTACATAAAAGCCAAATGCAAGGATTTGAAAATTCCATAAACTCATATTTTGTTCACAGTGGCTCATGTAAACACATCAAATGATTAAAGTAACAAAGTTCACCATTTTAGGAACAAATGTGAGAAGCCTACCCCCTTCTTAATGTTGTAGAGACCCACACTGAAGTCAGCTGTGACATGAACAGGAAGCTTACCTTCACAATAAAAGCACAAAGTTAGAGGTAAAATATTTTCTGGTTCAATCAAAACCGTTTGATGTTTGAACCCAACAAAACAAATCTTTATTTTTAGAGTTCAGTCAGTTATTGATCGCAGGATTGATTCCCTGAGGCGCTGTGTGCAGATTGATGTTCTCAATGAACTGCAGCTTTAACGAAGCTGTCAGAGACTAACTGATCTCAGGCCTGAGGCGAGGACGAAGCTTCACGTTCAGGAGAACTTCAACAAGTTCCTGTTTGGGTCCAAATCCTGATACGTAAAACACCAACAGATCAAAAACAACACATACTGTATTTATCTGACCCAGATTACCAAGAAGAAGCAGAAACTGTGGTCCAGACGTGCTGGATGGAAATCAGAGGTAAATTTAACATCTCAGACCCTCAGGTTTAAATCAATCATTCTTCACGGTTCTTCATCATCCTCCTTGTCTCCAGGTCCATTTTGTCCTGTCATCTTTTTTTTTTTTTTTTTTTTTACAACAAGCAGCTGCTGAGTTTAGTTAAAACTCTTATTTTCTCTCTTTGTGTTTAAATGTGTTCAATAATCTGTCACAATCCAGGGATGGACTTTTATGGGGTGCCATTTGTAAAGATACACAGTCAAAAAGTAACATCTATATTTTGTTTTATTTAGCCTTTAATGTGAGAAAAAGTATTTTGTTTTGTTTTTCAAAGTCATATTTTCACCATGTTATTCATACATTTATAAATGTCATAGTTCCAGAATAAATATTTAATTTACAAGCTAAATATTTAATTTAAGAACTAGATGCTTAACTTGCAAGTTAAATATATAGTTAGTAAACTAAATATTCAGGTGTAAATTAAATGTTTAATTTCCAAGCTAAAAATTTAATTTCCAAGCTAAATATTTAATTCCTAAATTAAATATTTAATTCCTAAATTAAATATTTAATTTGCTAACTAAATATTTAACTTGCAAGTTAAATATTTAGCTTGCAAATTAAATACTTGGGTGAGAGTTAAATATTCAGTTAGAAAATTAAATATTTATTTTGGAAATTAAATGTTTAGCTTAGAAATTAAATGTTTAGTTTTGAAAATAAATATTTAGCTTGGAAATTAAATACTTAATTTACACATTAATTAGTTTACTAACTAAATATTTAACTTGCAAGTTAAATATTTATTTTGTAAACTAAATATTTAGTTTGGAACTATGACATTTATAAATGTATGAATAACATGGTGAAAATATCCATCCATTATCTTTTACCCACTTCTTCCATTTTTGGGTCACGGGGGTCGCCGGTGCCCATGTCTGGCAATCACTGTGCGAGAGGCGAGGTACACCCTGGATGGATCGCAAGTCCATCACAGGGACACAGAGACAAACGAGACAAACAACCGTTCACTCTCTCACTCACACCTAGGGACAATTTAGAGTTACCAATCAGCCTAACATGCATGTTTTTGGTCTGTGGGAGGAAACCCACGCATGCATGGAGAGAACATACAAACTCAACCCAGAAAGGCCCCTGGACCGGGATATTGAACCATTGACCTGCTCGCTGAGAGGCAGCAGCTCTACCAGTTGTGCCACCGTGCTGCTGGTGAAAATATGACTTTGAAAAAAACAAAAAACTATTTATATTTTCTTATTAAAGGTAAATAAACCAAATTATTGCTGTTATTTTTTGACTGTGTAACTTTACAAATGGCACCCCATAGACTTTCACAGTCCAGTTCCCCTAAAGGTTCTTGTGTGAGGAGATTCTCCTGAACCTGGACTAAGTCTCTGGTGATTCTGTAAAACCAGTTTAGAGTCTGGACAAGCTCTTTGGGTATTCCTCGCCAGCCTCGGGAGCAGAAAAAAAGATTACCTCTGTAGTCATGGCAACGCAACCCCGCCTCTTCCATCACTAGTGTGCTTTTAACAGGTCTGAGATGGACCCAAAGATGTGGACTGAAACTGGATCAGGTCTGAACCCAGACCAGGTCTGAGCTGGACCCAAAGATGTTGACTGAAACTAGATCAGGTCTGAGCTGGACCCAAAGATATGGACTGAAACTGGATCGGTTCTGAACCCAGATCAGGTCTGAGCTGGACCCAAAAGATAGGATCTGAAACCAGAACGGTCTAAACCCAGATCGGGTCTTGGACACGTGGACTGACGGACAGAATCAGCTGTTAAATTCAACAAAATGTTTTATTTTGAAAGGACTGACAGGAAAAATACGTTGTGTGGATGACGTCACTCCAATGGGCAGCAGTCTGGGTGAGGGGGCGTGGCTCAATGGTTTTGGTCGGAGTCTGGATCTGATGGATCAGCGGGTCCGGAGGAGGGTCTGGGAGGAACAGCTGTCTATCCGGTGGTTTTGGTCCGGGTTGGATTCGTTCCGAGACCTGAAGGACTAACTGGATTCATCTGGATCTGGACTGACCTGCAGAACCGTTTCCCGCTGGCTGGGTGGTGGGTTTTGTATCGGAACCAGATTTGTGGGTGGGGGGTCCGCAGGAGTTCTGGTCTCACCACGATGCTCCAGAACTCCTTCGAATCCGGTTCTGGTTAATCCTCCAGAGAGACACATGCCGCAGTCCGAACCCTCCAGGCGGGACCGAGCTCCGGACCGACAGGATGCCGAGCGGTCGGGCTCGGTTCGGGACCGTCTGGAGCTGATCGGCTTGGTGCTGGGAGAACTGGACTTCCTCCGGCAGAGACAGGAGCTGCTGGTCCGGACCGCCCTGCAGGAGGAGGAAGAGGTCCTTGAGGCTCAGCTGGACTCAGAGGAGAACATCCTGGTTCTGGTAGGTCCCAAGCGGTCTACAGAGACCAGACTTGAAAATCAGGTCGAGGAGGGGATTCAAAATATAAAATAAAAATATTTAAAACATAAAATAATAAAAGCAAATATTATCAAATTTATTAGGATCAAAAACAAAATTGTTTTGCTTATCAGCTCTTCCAGCTCTTATCCCTTCAGCTTTTATTTTGACAGAAACATTAGATTTATACAAATATTGTTTTAGAACATTTTGGTTTTGTTATTTTTCCTGTAAGAAGTGGTCTGAGCTGTACAGGAAGTGCTACAGCTACCTGCTGCTGTATGTGATGAAGAGTACCATCACCCACACATCCCTGGACTGGTTTTGTCTCCATCTCCTGGGTCGTACTCGGTCCAACTCAAATCCATCAGATCCCTCCCGTCACTTCAGGTGTGCCTCAGAGCTCCGTACTTGGTACCTTTCTTTTACCCTTTGTCTTTCTGTCTGTACATATTGTGAGCTCGATAATAAAAAAAATAAGTGAGGTACCGACTTCCATTTTGGTGTGTAGTTGCATCTTGGCATAAAAAAGTTTCCCTCAAAAACTGGGTTGCCAGTCAGTATCCATGGCTACCACCATATCTACAGTATATGCAGTAGTCCACTAATTGAAGCTAACTTTTTGTTTTGCAAATTATCATTTTCACTAACTTTGGAAACTGTTAGCGCAACATTTAGCTTTCGTTAAATTGGATTACGCTAACGTTAGATCCGCTAACAAAATTCACACATTTGTTCCCATCTGTTGGGCTCAAAGAGGCCGTTGTGTGTTTTTACGTTTTTACGTAGCTCGTTCAGCAATTCTTATTCTGTTTCTACAATTCATAAATCAAAATGTTCAGCTCATTCAGGACATTCCTGCTCTGACTTTTGGTATTTACGTTTAACTTTTTGAAACATTTATCTTTGTATTTTTGTACCATGTTTTCCTCATTGACAATGAATGGAGCTCTCTTCACATCCTTCAAACTCTTCGAGCTGTTTACAACCTGTTACTGCTCCTTTCAGCTTTTGTTCTGGTTTAGCTCCTTTCAGCTTCTTTCTGCTTGTTTCAGCTTCCTTCAGCTCCTTTTTTTTCATTCAACCTTTATTTATACAGGTTAATCCCACTGAGCCTCTGGGACTCATAAGAGAAACCTGATTTTAACAAAGAGTGATGACAACAATAGACGATCATAAAGGATGCGTACAAATTGAGATTTTTTTTCATCTTTCTGCAAATTTGAGTCTTTTTAATTACTTTTTTTGGCTAATTATCTCCTTTCTGTCTTATATTTATTTATATAATTTTCAATTTTTATGCTTCTTTCTGCTAATTTTATCTTTGTAGCTTTTCAGCTTTAGCTCATTTCAGCTTTTTATCTGTTCAGCCTCTTTCTGTTTATTTCACCTTATTCTGCTCCGTTCATCTTGTTTGTACTAAATTCACATTTTCTGTTCTTTTTTCAGCCTTTTTCTACAAAATTTAGCTTTATTCTACTTTTTCAGCTATTTTTAGTTTATTTCTTTTATTAATTTTAGCCTTTTTCTGCTCATTTCAGTTTCTTTTAAGCTAGTTTCAGATTTATTTTGTTTATTTTCTCTCTTCTTATTTATTTTGCTAATTTCTGCTACATCTGCTCTTCAGCTTTTTCTATTTCAGCTGTTTTTCTACTATATGTACTTTCAGCTTGTATTTTCCTGCTTTCAGTAAATGTCAGCTGTTCCAAATCAGTTTGCATTGACAGTTTAGCTATGAAAGCTTTCCAGCTGGTTTCAACTAAAATCATTCAGCAACACAGTCACAGGAAATGATGTTCCTCTGGTTCTGAAGAATAAAGGTTTGTAGGTCAGCTCAGAGTTTCAGCTGATTTAACTCTTTTAGCGTAGGAGTCTTGTTTTTTGATTAGCTCAGGAGGAAAATGTGTTTTTATTTGTTTCTGTCAGAACCGTCTGAGGTGGAGAGACGCTGCTCTGATCACTCAGCTCCACCAGCTGGACCAACAGATCCAGGAGCTGCGACTGAACCCCGAGGCGTCTCAAGTCCAGCCGGAACCTGACAGCAGACCGAGTTCCGGTAATTTGTCTCAGCTCATTTAATTCTCTTGACCGACGGGCTCTCTGAGAGTCTAACAGGCGAAGAAGATTAGCAGAAACTTCTCAGATCAAAAGATCTGACAGAAAATCCTAATCTTTCAGATGAAAACAAAGTTCAAATAAAAACTCTGTTTCTGGGAATAAAGTTGAATTTATTACATAAAAAAAACTTGGAGGTAAAACAAAAATCTGAGCTAGAAAAAGGTTAAAATTAGAAGATTAAAGGTTTGTAGGTCTGTAGGTCTGTCTGTGGGCCTGTCTTTAGGTCTGTTCTTAGATCAGATGATCAGCTCTTTGTTTCGTCTCTCCTCCAGGTTTCTACGAGTTGAGTGATGGGACGTCTGCCTCGCTGTCCAACTCGTCTCACTCCGTCTTCAGTGAAGGTTTCAGCTCAGCAGCCGACTCTGAAGGACCCCTCCCATTCAAAGGTTAGTCCCTGAGTATGGATAGACAGGACCCTCAAGTCCAAAGACAGGACCCCTCCCGTGTCTGACAGAGAACCCTCTGGAGTCATAGGCAGAACTGAGGATCCAGATCTCCTTAGCCCAGATCGACTCTGCTAAGACCAGGTGTCTGTTAGAATACTACGTGTTGATCAGCTGTTGATCAGCTGTTGTTGTTTTTGTTTCCTGGATGCTCAGTTCAGCTCCTGTCAGACCTAAACTCTTCATATTTCTGTACAGACATTTTATCTTCAAAGTGTTTGTTCTTGTCTCAATAAACTGTCTCCAGAGTCAAAATGTCCTCAGGGACAGTAAAAAGTCAAACTTCCACCTGCAGCTTGTCTTGGACGTGCAGTGAGACTTTTCATGGCAGCAACAAGCTTTTTACCTGCTATGATTTAACACCGGGATGTTTAACAGAAATCCTGTTCTCCATTAGACGAAACAGATTGTATGACCCCCCCCCCACCCCCCCAACCCCCCGGGCTGAGTGTTTGAGTAAAACCAGGAGGAGGAAAAGGACTTCAGTTCATGTTAAATATCTGCAGCAGCTGGTTTTCCTTTAAACCTTCTGTCTGTTTTTGATTTATAAAATGGACATTTGTGGCTTCAAACTTTATTTGAGACAAAAAAAAGTCTAGACAGCATTTCTAAAAAAAACCTGGAGTTGTTGGAAAAGGTGAACATGTTTTATTACCAGAAACAAAAGAAACAGTAAGCACAAAAAAAAGCCTAATTGACAAAACATACCAATTCTTTAGAAATGATTTAAACCAAACAAATTTACTTTTTCTGCAAAAACTCTGAAAGCAGAATGATTCTGCTGAACAAAAAGAAAACTGTCGCTAAAATAAGCAGAACTGCAGCTTTAAGGAAACGTTTTAAAAACTGTAGATAAAAGCAGAAGCTAGCAAACAAAAAGCTAAAAGAAGCAAAAGGACAAAAACAGAGCCAGTAGCCGAAGAAGATTTCAGAGAAAATTTTAATAAAAAATAAAATAAATTAAGTAAAAATAAGTAAAGTTTTTATTTAAAATAATAATAATAATAATAAAGTTCTTAGAGGATTTGAACAGATTTCAATACATTTCTATGATAAAAATGTTTATAAATAAAGGTAAATTATTCAAAAATATAAAAGTTTTAAACAAGTTTGGTTTGTGAGAGATCTTCACTCTCAGACTGCAGGATTACTTGTGGTTCCTAGAGTTTCCAAAAGCAGAACGGGAGGCAGATCTTTCAGTTATCAGGCTCCTCTCTTGTGGAACCAACTTCCAGTTTGTGTCCATGAGGCTGACACATTGTCCAGTTTTAAGACTGGGACTAAGACTTTCCTTTTTGATAAATCCTATAGTTAGGATCAGCTTGTTATGCTGCTATAGGCTTAGACTACTAGAGGACAAATTGACATTATTTCCTTAAATGATTTTTTAAAATGGAATAGTTTTCATTTTATACTATTTCTATCTTAACGTGATTCTTGACCTGCCATTGTGTATCTGTTCCTCTCAAACCAGCTGGTCGAAGCAGATGGCCGCTTGATACGAGCCTGGTTCTACTAAAGGTTTCTTCCTCATGAGGGAGTTTTTCCTTTCCACTGTCACCTTCTGAGAGTTCTGCGATGGAGTTAAATTTAAAGCAGTCTGCTCCTCAGATAAATAATGTTGTTAACTTATGTTTATATACAGTAGTAGCTCTTTGCCACCAGCAAGCGCTCTTGGCCACGCCCATTTCTCCGCTCTACATGCTGAACAGCTGTTCAGCTGCAGCAGGAAGTTTATCCTGCAGTGTGGGCTGCACAAAGCCGCAGGAGGTGCTAAATAATTTAAAATAATTTATTTTAAATAAAAACTGCATGATGATCGTGCGACTCATCCATCAATCAGGCAATTATGTGTCATGTCCAAACTGATTTTGAAAAACCGCGATAGAGCGAGTTCGCAATAAACGAACTACGAAGTAGCGAGGGACTACTGTATATGAATGTTTCTGTTCATTGCCCTGAGACTGATGACTTCTGTTGTGACTTGATGCTAAAAACTGAATTGAATTGTGTGACGTCGTCTTCAGCTGGTTTTAAACACGTTTGGTTCGTGTGACGTCGTCTTCAGCTGGTTTTTAAC